AGAGACAGAGAGAGAGAGAAAGAGAGAGAGAGAGAGAGAAAGAAAATGAAATAGCCTGAAACTTCTCGAACTTCGAGAAGACTCTGGAAAGAGCTGAGAGAGTAGCTAGGCTTTGCTGCCTGCCGCCAACTCTTCTCTCAATCACCATGAAAGACAGCCTCCGCTCCTGCTGGGAGGCAGAGGGAAGGAGTGCACTCCTGTAATGTGAGAAAGCCAAGACTCTCAGCTTCTCCTTTTCCTTTGCAAGATGGTCTGTTTCTTAACAACTCTGCACTCACTTCTTACTGCTGTTCTTTTCAGCAACTTCCCTTCTTGTACTGAAATTCTCAAAAAGCAGACTTTATTAGAAAGTAGAGAATCACCCCACATGAATGGGATGAATGTGGAGGATGGGTCATGCTGGTGTGCCACTCTAAAATAAATTTTTATTCTATCAGTTAATTAATGATGAATTAAGGAGATGGACCGTCAGGCCATCAGCCATGCTCCCATTTGCTTACTGAGTGCTTGCTGATGAGCTGGGGCTCTGAATTATCCAACTTAAACAATTTAGGCTTAGCATCCATGGATTGAAAGGAAGAGCTATCAGAAAAGAGAGTAAAAATCAGTGAGGACTTCCTAGGTAAGCATTTCTCTCCATTTACTTACTTAATCTTTACCGTAATCATTGAAAGCATGTATATGTAACAGTACCCACTTGAAGGGGAAGCTGAAACACACATGGATTAAATAATTTGCCCAAGTTTGTCAAACTTCAAAATCCAAGCCTAATCCTTGAAATGATTTTTCTAGGACTTGTGTGGTTAACCTGGGGTAGAATAGACACGATCTTTCCTATTTTAATGATGTGGTCTTAGTTTCTACAGTTTATGCTGATTAGTAGAGAAGCTTTCAACTTCTAAGTATTTGATTAGGAAATTATCAGAGGTAAATTGGTGAAAAATCCAGGCACATCACTTGTGTGGATCACTAAATAAAGCATGTTGTTGTTGTTGTTATGTTCCGTAGAGTCGCTTGTGACTCATAGCAACCCTATGTACAACAGATCTAAACCCTACTCTATCCTGTGCCAATCGCACTGACTCCGACACACCCATCCCGATTACCCCAGTTACCGAATCAATCCACCTCGTAGTGGGCCTGCCCCTCCTGTGCTGTCCCTCCACCCTACCAAGCATGATGTCCCTCTCCAAGGACTGGTCCCTCCTTACAACATGTCCAAAGTATGTCACACGAAGCCTCAGAATCCTTGCCTCCAAAGAGCCCCCACTTTTAACCCTCTCCAGGATGAATCTTTGTTTTCTTAGCAGTCCATGGCACCCTTAATACTTTTCTCCAACACCACAGCTCAAAGGCATCAATTCACCTCCTATCCTCCTTGATCATTGTCTAACTCTCTAATGCATAACAAGTGATTGCAAAGACCATGGCCTGTATCAGATGCACCTTTGTCTCCAGAGAGACACCATTGCTCTTCAGTACGTTGAAGTGGTCCCTAACAGCAGACTTTCCCATCGCAGTACGTCTTTTCATTTCCTGGCTGCTGGTGCCAAGAGTGTTGACTGTGGAGCCAAGCAAATAAAGCTATGAACAATCTCAATCCCTTCACCATCTATCCTGATGCTGCCAGTTGGTCCAGTGGTGAGAATCTTTGTCTTCTTGACACTGAGCCTCAACCCATATTGAAGGCTGCAGTTCTTGACCCTCTGCAGCAAGCGCTTCAGGTCCTCCTCAGTTTCAGCAAGCAGGGTTGTGTCATCTGCATAAATAAACATACACAGGTTTTTTTAATACTATTCTTCACTTATCATGAAGCACCATTAATTCCTATGTGTGCTGATGGTATCAGCCAAATATATGTTTGCATACAGTGTGTTCACACTAGGGAAAGAAACAAAAGTTTCTTCAAGGAATTTATAATCTAATTGGAACACTCATTTATGAAGAATAAATTCATATCCTTTGCCTAACATTGGTCTACTGTCTAGCTTAAGTTGGAAATGATTTCTGATGGAGTAGTCAGCCTCAAATACCAAATTCTAGAATTTGAATGTTGTAAAAGTCCATAACAAATTCCAAAGGAATGTGCACTTTTATTATATATTTCTTTAAAACCCCAATCTTGTGACTGGATCCTGGCCAGAGAAATCTCCTCAAGTACAAATAGTATTCTGTGTTATTTTGTAACTGA